GGGAAATTGCTGATGTTGGGCTATTGGGGCCATTCACATGGTTGACTTGGCCATACCGTGACATTAGCTCTTTTCACCCCATGAGAGGGTTTTCTATGAAGCCAGGCATGGTGGTGCACACCTGTAATTCCAGTTTGGCAGGGCCTTGGGCAGGACTGTTTGTGGCCCGGGCCTGGGTGGTGGGGCTGGGCCTGGCGTCACAGGGCCCCAAGGCATCTGTAATGCTTTGTCTGGCCCGCAGGAGCTGGGGGTGTCTTTTGGAGAGTGCAGTGCCATCCTGGGTCACAACGTCCTGGAGTCCATGGTGAACCTGGCCCGGTGAGCCAGCCCCTCCCCACCCTACCCAGAGACCCCAAGTGGCAGGGAAGTCCCTGAGGAAGCAGCCAAGCAGACGCCTGGGCAACGGGTCGGGGATACAGCTCAGCGGCACAAGTGCCCGCCTGGTGAACACCTGGGCGGAGGACAGGACTCCCCACTGGGGAAGAGAGTGAACTCCGCCCTGAGAGGCTCCTGCCTCAGCCTCACCGTCTGCATCACTGTGTCACACCCCAGAGGTCTGTGCCCTCACCAAGCCCAGGGTCTGTCTGTGAAGTAGACGGGCTCTGGGGGTGCCCCCCCCCCCGCTCCCAATCTTCCACTGACTTCTGTGGATTTAGAGTGAAATCCAGCTGGGAATGGTGGCACACATCTGTAATCCTAGTATTTGTTTTGTTTTTGTTTTTGTTCTTGTTTTGTCTTTTTGAGACAGGGTCTCGCTATGCAGTTCAGGCTGGCCTGGAGCTTACTTTTGTAGCCCAGGCTGCCCTCGAACTCGCAACCCTCCTCCTGCCTCCGCCTCCCAAGTGCTGGGATTACAGGCATGTGCCACCACACTTGGCAGTCCTAGTATTTGGAAGGCTGAGGCAGGAAGGTTGCTGTGAGTTCATGGCCAGCCTGAACTGCAGAGCAAGACCCTGTCTCAAAAAAACAAAAACAAAACAAGAATGAAATGCAGGTGCCTTGAAATACACTTCATTGTCTCCAGTGCCCCCCCTTTTGCCTCTTACACACACCATGTGCACACACACACACACACACACACACACAAGCTCTGGCTGCTCCTCCCTGACCCCCGCTTCAGACCACAGACTTGATTGACACTGTAATTACGTACACATCTGTCTCCTTCTGCTTGTGCCCAGGAGGGCAAGGCCATGTCTGTCGGTGGAGCCCCTCACTAGGCCTTGGTATGCAGTTGGTGCTCAATAAATGAATGGGATGAACACTGGGGAAGAGGTGCTAGATCAGGGAGCCCCCCCCACACTGGGCCCACAGGAGGGGAATCAGGAATAAATGGCTGCTTTCCCCTCCCAGCTCGAAGCACAGTCACACACTGACCCCACGCCCCACCCCGTGCAGTCGTCCCTTTTCCCGGCTGCCCCTCACTGCAAAGCAGGGATGGTTGCGTCTCAGAGTCCTGCATGGCGCCTGGCACCCAGCAGACCTGAAAGAACGGCAGGAGAGAGCCGTGGTGCCGTGAGGACTGACTCCCGGGCACTGTCGCGCAGGTCACTCAAGGTGCAGGAGGACCGCCTGAAGGACTCGCTGGTGGAGGTGGCGCCCAGGAAGCCGCCCAAGCGAGCCGGCTGCTGCTCCTGAAGCCCCGCCCCCACTTCCTGTCCCTCAGCTCCGTCCTGGCCTCCTGGAGGCACAGAGGCTGGGACAGATCTGTGTGGTCACATTTCTGTAAGGACTGGGTCTTTTTTTTCCAGTACCGGGAATCGAACTCACGACCTCACGCTTGCCAGGCAGGCTCTGTGCCGCTGAGCTAAATCCCCAGCCCAGGACTGGGTCTTATAAAAACTAATGTTGAGCAGGAGGAAAGTTTGCAGGCGCTTGCTTTGGTGCCAACTCCTAATTCACGAGACCTGTGGTTCCAGGGAATCTGCCAGCACCCTGGGCCCCCGTCCCCCTGCCTGTTTCCATTTCTGATGGCCTGGTTCCCTCCTTTCCCCACAGCCCACATTTGGGGTCCTGCTCCTGCCCCAGGGCCTTGGTGCATGGGATTGATGGGTGGGGACTGGAGGGCTGCTTCAGTCCTGCAAGACGAGCATTTGGCTTTCTCTGCCAGGCCGCCTTCCGAGCAGAGCACAGGTGGGCGGAGCCATCGGCCTATTCCAGGGTCAAAGGGCGAAGTCAGCAAGTAGGACCCAGGGACCCAGAATAGTACAGGGCAGACAGGATAACAGCAGCGGGACTCACAGGAGACCCAGAGCCCACTTCCGGGCAGGTGCCAAGTTCTCAAGAGGGCTCCGGCCACAGGTTGTTTAGATAGTGATTGAGAAAATGAGGGTAGCCAGGTGTGGTGGTGCACACTTACAATCCCAACGCATGGGAGGCTGAGGCAGGAAGACTGCTGTGAGTTGAAGGCCAGCCTGGGCTACATAGTAAGACTTTGTCTCCAACTGCAAGAAAGAAAGAGAGAAAGAGAGAGAGAAAGAAAGAAAAAAGAAAGAAAGGAAGGAGAAAGGGAGGAAGGAAGGAAGGAAAGGAGGGAGGGATGGGATCGATGGGGTCACAGTGTGGGAAGCAGTGGGTACAGGGAGAAAGGAGGGTCCGGTAGAGTACAGAGAAGAGCGCTCTCGAGAACTCAGGGTTGGGGGGGCAGGACAGCGCTGTCCTCACCCAATGTGGGCACAGCTGGCAAACGCTGGAGGTGCGAGGTGAGCGTGAACCAGACCCCACAGTGGAATCCGGGGTCCAGAGCCTCCTGCCGGGAGCGGGAGCTCCGGGCAGGGCTCAGGTGCACTCCCGCACGCGCAGGCGCACACACGCCCGCCTCCGGGTGGAGACCATTGTCGCGGGTGTGGGCCGCGAACAAGCGATGAAAGGCAGATTCTAGCGGAGAGGCGTGCCTCTGGCTATGGGGCCGGGAGGGGGCTGGCGTCGGAGTTCAGAGGCCGCTCCTGCTCTCCCCAGGGACTGGGACCTGAGCAGTCCCCCGCAGGGGCTCTGGCCCGGCAGTCTCTCCAGCCCCCACCCAGTAGAGGAGGAAGAGGACAGAGCCCACGATCTGGGGCAGGGGTCGTGCTGGGAAATATCCCAGGCCGGCCTGTCCCCACGGGGTCCTGGAGGCCTGGGGCCCAGCCCGGTCTACAGGAGGCCGTGTCAGCCCCTGGGCTGCCTCTGGGTGACTCGATCCCTACCGACCCAGCACCCGGTCCTGCGGATGTGTGGGGGTGAGGGGAAGGCTGCAGCCGGGTCCAGCCGCCTCACCCCCACTAGTCTGCCCCTTGGCATCCCCCGGGATCTGTCAAAAATGCCAAGGCCCAATCCAACACAGTGCAAAACTCCCCAAGTGGCTTCCCTGGTGCAAACAAGCTCCGGAGACACCGGTGGGGCTCTGCGCCCCCTCTCAGCCCTTCCCACCCGCCTTCCCATCTGCCTTCTTCCCAGGCCAGGCAGGGTTTTGTTGAAACATACACATGCGGGCTGGGGATATAGCTCAGCGGCACAAGCGCCTGCCCTGCAAGTGCAAGGTCCTGAGTTCAATCCCCAGTATCCCCCCAAAAAAGAAAAAGAAACATACACATGCATGAACAATATTCATGCAACTATAAAGCAATCTCTACTCCCTGCAGAACAGTTAGAAAGAAATTATTAAGAACAAAACGAGCACGCCTGTAATCCCAGCACTCCGGAGGCTGGGGCAGGAGGATTGCCACAAGTTGGAGGCTAGCTTGTTCTCCATAGCCAGTTCAAGAACAGCCTGAACTACGTAGTGAGACTCTGTCACACACATAAACAAACAAACAAAACAAAACAAAACAAAAAAAGAGCTGAGCACGGTGATGCATGCCTATAAGCCCGGTACTCAGAAAGCTGAGGCAGGAGGTTCTCGAGTTTTAGGCCAGACTGGCTTACATAGCAAGACCCTGTCTCACACACACACAAAATTTCCTAACTCTCAGTCCTTAGTGACAATGGCTGCGTAGTGACAATGTTTTATTTTCTTTCTTTCCTTGATTGAACAAACTGAGCTAGAGGAGCACTGAATGACATTCCGAGTCATGGTACTACCACGCGGCAGAGGCGAGTGGGACCCAGGGCATCCCCGGAGCTCGGCCTCGGGCTGCTGAGGTCGGAGGGCTGAGCGCGCCCAGGGCTGCGCTGTCAGCCTCCTGCAAGCCGAGTCCTGAAGGCAGGAGGCTGGGGCGGCTTCTACGCTGTCCTCGCCTGTCCCAAATAGCAGGCCCAGGAGTGTCGGGCGCTATAGCCGTTGCTGTCATTTTATTTTTATTAACTCAGAGGCGTCGCAGCTGGTAAGACTGCGGGGAGGAGTGGCGAGGAACGTTGGGGGTGCGGGTTGCCTAGCGACCTTAGACCCGGAAGTCAGGAGCCTCGCAGGGGTGGGGCCATCTTCAGGCCCTGCCCCCCGGCCCTGCCCCGCCCCCATCCCTGAGTCCAGAAAGGGAACCGCGGGGCTGGGGATTTAGCTCAGCGGCACGGTGCCTGCCTGGCAAGCACGAGGTCGTGAGTTCGATTCCCAGTACCGGAAAAAAACCAAAAAAAAAGAATAGACTCCAGAAAGGGAACCTCAGTTCACCCTGGACGCAGCCTGGGCCTGCGAATCCCTCAGCAACACCCGCCCATCTGCGGTGTGGTTTCTCTCCCAAGGTATCTGGTGAGGGCATTTCCTGGGCCGGTGCTTTCTGCCTTCCAGGGCCCAGCGCAAGCCTCTACCTCACCTCACCCCTCGCCCTGGAGCCGGCCTCTGGCTTTGGTGTTAGCTCAGGACCCAGGAGATGATCTCTGCGGAAATTCCCAAAACAGCGTGTTTGCTTGGTCAGGGTACGACCAGCTAAACACGAGTGCAGCTAAACACGAGTGCGCATGCGTACACGCACACACACTCTGGCTGAAAAACTTGGGAAATATTGGGGTACAGTAAGTCAGACTAGTGTCCTTGCTGCAGGACTTGTCAGAACCTTGAAGGCCACTGACAGCAGTTTCCCCAAAGTCCAGGCCAGGCAGCCAGCGATCCACGGCGCACACCCTGGGGAGGAAGCCTGGAGAGCAGGGGCAGAGTCGGCACGACAGAGGTGCTCATGGTGAAGGCGGCAGCTCCAAGCCCTGATGTCCCTCTGGGCGGCATCTCCTCCAGCCCTTTCCCACGGTGCTGACGTGAGGGGAGCGGGGCCTGGTTCTGAGCACGTCCCTTCTCCCCACAGCGGGTCACAGGGGCATCTAATTACAGGGACTGACTTGGGTAATTAGCCCGGGGAGGGAGACGCCCTGTGCCCGTCCCTGGCGCGGGAGGAGGATCTCCATGTGGAGGCCGGGAGGAAGCCGCGCACCTACCTGACTCTCACCTGGCGGCACCCCGCCCAACCCACAAGGCGGCCTTTTGCCGGTGGACCGCAGCCAGCAAACGCCCAGGGCCCCGTCTGGTGCCGCAGACCCCCGCCCTCCCGCTGGCTGGCCACCACACCCGGTGGTGGGGCTCCTTCCTTGTGGCCCAAGGGTGTCACTGGGTGCCGGCAGGGCCTGGCACTAATGCTCAGTCAGTACTGAGAGAGGGGTAAGTATGGGAGGGACTGGGTGCAGCAGAGTCTGTGTTTTCTGCCGCCTCCTTGATGGCTTCCGGTTCACAGAGTGACTGTTCAAGGCCTAACCAGGGCCTACAAGGCCTATACTCCACCCCCGTGACCCCCCCTCCTGCACTCCCTTCCTTGGCATGGCTCCAACCATGCAGGCAGCCCTCTCCTCCACACTGAGCTCCTACCCCAGGGCCTTTGCACTGTCTCTGGCTATTTCCTCTACGTGGAGCCCAGATACTAGCATGGCTTTTTTTTTTTTTTTCCATTTTGGGGATTGACCCCAAGGTCTTTTCTGAGCTGCACCCCTATTCCTTTTTATTCTTTATATTTTATTTTGAGACAGTATCTTGCTAAGTCTCTAAGTTGCTCAAGTTGTGATCAACTTGCGATCCTCCTGCCTCAGCCTCCCAGACAGGTGGGATTACAGGTGTTCACCAACACCACACCCAACCTGGTACAGCTTCCTCTCCTTTCTCTTGGGCTTCCCTTGATGGTCATCACATCTAAAGGCCACTCCATGGCTGTCCATCCTGTTATTCTCATTTCCCATCAGTCTTCTTTCTGCCTGAAGCAGTGCTATTGGCCAGTCTGTGTCTGTGCTGGCTGTGTTTCTGCTGTGTGTGTGTGTGTGTGTGTGTGTGTGCGCGCGCGTGTGTGTGTGTGTTGGGGTCAGGGCCTGTGTTTTGGCCCCTGTCACCTTCCCTGCTGAGCAAAGAAACTAAGGTGAGACAGCAGAGGAGCTGGGCTCCAGGGTGATTTCTCACAGGAGAAAGGGACACAGGGAACTCTAGGAAAAGAACCAAATTTACTTCAGTTTAAGGCAAATTCCACACAGACTGTCTCAGAGATGGGCACAAGGACCAGACAGCAGAAACACCACCACCACCATGCAGGGCTGAGAGGGAGGTGGCGGGCGAGGTGCCCATGTGGCAGAGGACAACGGCATGCAGGACCGGCTGGGGCGGGCGAGGCTGGCGGCCAGGGCCCGGGTGACGCCCTCCCCCTCCCGCAGCGCAGACGCTGGAGCCCCGCCTGAGGACAGGGTGCTGGGTGACAGGATGGACGGGGCGACAGCTGGGCTGAGGGGCAAGGGCTGGGACGCTGGAGCCCGGCACGGGACAAACGGACCGTCAGGACGTGAGCAGGAGAACCGCACTGCCTGGCTGAGCTGCTCGTCCTAAGGGTGTGGAAACTGAGGCGCAGAAGGCAGATGGGCCTGGCCCGGCTTCCCCTGGGGGACAGGGCTGTAGTCGGGTTTCCCGTCCCGCCCCCAAACGACGGAAGGGCAAAGGGCAGCCGCAGCACAGGAGCTGCAGGGGCACGGAGGGCAGGACGCAGGGCCTGGCAGCCCCTGGTGGGCAGCGGACACCCTGGCGGTGTGAACCCCAGCTCGGAGAGGCCTGCGTGTCTACACGTCCAGAACCTCGATGCGGCCGGGGCTCCCGCAGGGCCCTGGGCCCCCACGTGACCGGATGCATGTCGCAGCCCCTTCAGCGCACACTGTCCCTGGGGGTCCTGCGCTCCGCCTCCCTGCAGCCCCAGTGGTATCGGGATTCACGGGAAATGAGGCACACAGGACAGCTGTCGGGGTGGGGGCAGGAGGCCCAGCCCAGGCGTCAGGGCCCAGTTGAGCAGACGGGGATCCCCGCAAGCCCCATGAACACCACGGCTGGGCTGGGCTGGGGCCAGGTGTCGGGAAGAAAAGACCCTGAGCCCTAAACCCCAGGCCCAGCGGGCGAGCCGCCCACCCCTCTGTCACCCATGCACCCCAACTCCCTGGGTTTGGGCAGCCAATGAGGTGGGGGAATTGGGGAGGAACCTCCAAGGGCTCTGCCCCTGGCACCCGGACGTCCAGAAGGCTGCCGAGGTCAGCCGTGCAGGGGCGACGCGGGGGGCGTGTGGGCCGGGGACTGCGGCGGCGAGTGCGCAGGCGCGGCGGGGGAGGGGCGTGGGCGGATGCCCTGCGCCTTCATGTAGGACACAAGCTGGTCGGGGATCTCGGCCAGGACATCGCGGGCCAGGCGGGCCATGCTCAGCACGTGGTTGCCTGTGCGGTCCACATAATCCCGGAAGGGCACGAACTGTCAGGCGGTAAGGCAGAGTCAGGAGGGTCTCCTGCTGGGCCCTGAACCCCAAATCTGCAGCCTTTCCCTCTTCTTCCATCCACTCAAGTCCTGGCTGAGCACCTCTTCCATGCCGGGGCGCCCCAGCAGGCTTCCCCCGTCTCCTACAAGAAGGGGCCGGGACGGGCAGCAGGCCCCCTGCCCAGCCGGCCTCCTCCTTCCTCTCCAGACTGGCCAACAGCTGGAGCCAGGCCCCTCCAGCTTCTTTCTGCGCCCCCGTGGAGCACCCCAGGTTATTTGTTCCTCCGGGCTTTGGGGCCCCAGCCACCCCGCTCTGGGCCCAGCCCCCATCTGCCCTGCACACCTCTGGGGTCTAAACCAAGGAGGCGAAGAATGGCTACCTACTCCGCATCTCCTGTCCCTGGGTGCAGCAGACGGGGCCAGACGGGGACTCCCAGGACCCAGCCCCCAGCCTGTGACCCCTGCATCCTCGCCTGCAGTCGTGAGAACCCGGATTTTCCAATCCCACACCCGGCAGTGCCTCCCCCACCCAGCGGCAGAGGCTGGGCTCCAGCTCACTGGGAGCTGCGGGCTGGAGGGCTGTGGGTGGGGCGCGGCCGCCAGGCCGACAGCCAAGCTAGCGCTGAGCCTCACACACGGCAGGGAGAAGGGAGACCCCAGGCCTGGCCAGGCCACTGTGCGGCTCTCTGCATGTATTTCCTGGGCTTCACCTGGACGATGTCGCGTTCAGCCAGCTTCCCGCGGGAAGAGATCCGCACGTCGTCGCCGTCCAGCTCCACCATGGCTGCGTGGGGCAGAGCGTCGTGGAGGGGCCGGTTACCAGCGGACAAGGGCCCGGCAGTACAGCAGCCTGGTCCCCCAGTCCCAGGCCAGTCCAGGGCAGAGGCTGCCCGTCCATGCCCTGTGCCCCATGCTGGAGATGGGAAAGCTGAGCCCGGGAGACGGGCTGCCCCGCCAGGTGGGCCTCCTGTTGCCCAGGAGGGACTCAGGTGAGAGCACCCGCAGGATGTGCGCTCCCCATGCATGCGCCGGCCCCTGCACCTCGCCGGGTGCCACCCATGCCAGGCGCGGGCCCCCGCACCCGGGACTCACCGTCAAACTCCGCCTGGCCTACGCCGACGATGATGATGGACATGGGGAGCTTGGCAGCCTGGGGCCCCGAGAAGGGCCGGTTGAAAGGAAAGACAGGTGAAGCGCGGGGCCCCAGTGGGAAGGGAGACGTGTGACAAGACGGAGGCGGCCCCGACTCACGCTCACTCACGTTGACGATGGCCTCCTTGGTCTGCGCCATGTCGGAGATGACGCCGTCTGTGATGATGAGCAGCACGGAGTACTGGGAGCCGTCCTGCACGGCCGCTGCGTTCCTGCGTGGGGCAGGCACCGCTGGGGTCACGCGCCCCGGCCCCACAGCCAGGCCGCGGGGAGAGACGCGCAACCGCTGGGGGACCGGCGGGGAAGGCCGCGTGCACCGCGGCGCCCCGCTCACCTGGCCACGTGGGTGACGACGGGCGCGAAGTTGGTGGGGCCGTAGAGCTGCACGGTGCGCAGGCTGCGGTGATAGGCCTCCAGGATGCCGTCGATGCCGCAGCACGAGGGGTTCTCCTGGTTGCCGTTCTGGGGCGCAGAAGGGGCTGGGTCCAGGAGGGAGGAGGGACCCCCCCAGTGCTCACCCCAAGGACCCCGCTCCAGGAGGCCCTGAGAAGCTCCGGCAAGCCCGCGGGGTCCAAGCAACTCAGGAAGGGCCCGCGGCTGCTCTGTCCCATGAGTCCCGTGGCCAGCACGGCGCCTGGCTCGGCCAGCTCACAGGAGGGAGAAGAGGAGGCCCCAAGTTTAACCCCACAGGGCTCTGGACCCCGGGACGGCACCACGTCCCGTTACCCGAGGGGCATTCCATTGTCATGGTGTATATTTGGATATCCTCCAAAACCTCATGTGCTGATAGGACTCTGGGGGCAGTGGGGGCTCACAGCTGACTTGTTAGGAGGTCGGGGCTGGGTGCACGACCCAGAAGCGTTTATCTCCCCGCATTCTCTCTGCTTTCCGGCATGCCCTGAGCAGCTCTCCCCAACCCCGCCTCCCTGGCCCCCAGCTCCCCCCACGACCCCTACCAGCGGGAACTCGTGGGACACCCTGCCGTCGGGGGGCAGCTTGGCGCCGAAGCCCAGGGCGGGGAACATCTTGTCGCTGTCGTAGTGCTGGATGATCTCCCCGACGGCGGTCAGCGCCAGCGCGTAGGCGTTCAGCTGGTAGGGGCTCATGTAGTGCAGCGAGGTGGACTGCGAGGGGTTCCCTGCCACACGGGACACGGGCTCAGCGTGCAGCAGGGGCTGGCCCAGGGCACCCTAACTGCTTCCTCGGTCCTGGGCCCCTCCCTCTCATTCCACATTCGAGCCTCGGGCAAATTCTGGCCGCTGATCCAGAAAACAGCCGGGACAGCGGTAGCCCCCGGACAGCGCCCGCTTGGGGCTCCTGTCCCTGTCGTGCCGGCCCCTTCCCCGCTGGCCCTCAGCCCCACCTCAGAGGCCCCTGGCCTCCCCCTCAGCCTGGGCAGTGGCTGCCCCCTCCAGGCACGACCCTCCCCAGATGCCACCTGGCCCGTTCCCTTGCCCCTCCGCCATCTGTGCGGTCCCAGAGCAGCCTGCAGGAAGTTATAGCCTCCCCCAACCTGCCACCGCTCTTCCTGCCGTGGAGTAACTTCCGACCTTGTCAGCCTTCCCAGAGCCCCTCTGTCACTGATGAGGTCATTAACAAGAGGCCACGCAGCAGTGAGAGCCAGGGCACCTCCTGCCGTTGGTGTGGACTTGGCTAAGGTCCTTAACCTCTCGGCCTCAGTCTCCTCATGTGTATAATGGGGATGTAACAAGAGTCCCCATGCCCAGGATCGCTGTAAGGATTAACTAGGTATCACAGTGTCCCTGAGACCTCCCAGCTCTGGGAGCCTAGCACCCTGAGATGCTTGAGCCGCAGCCTCCTGACACACAGGGGCGGGGACCGGGCTTGTGCATCACCTGACTGGCCCCTCACGGGTCCAGAACCCGAATCAGGCTGCGACCGCGCTCACAGCACGCAGCCCCTCCCGGTGACTGTTCCCCAGGACTCAGCACAGCCAGACCCTGGGGCAGTCAGAGGAGGGGAGGAAGCGGGGCGGCCCCTGCTCGGGGAAGCACCAGGGTCCTCGGCGAGCACAGCTGGTCCCAGTTGTCCCTTCCGGCCCATGGGCTGGACAGCTCAGGGGAGAGGAGCCGTGCACTAAAGGACACAGTGCCGCTCCGGGGTCTCCAAGGGCCTGGGGACACTGGGGGCTCCCCAAGGGCAGGGCCAGGGTCTGGTGCACAGCCCCCAAGCCCAGCTGCGTTAGTGTCTGCGCTGTGACCCGGGAGGCCCCTGGCACCCTGGTTGTACGTTTGGTCCCCCAGGCCCGGGAACCTCGCCTGGGGTAAGGAAGAGGCCACGCGGTATGCGGCAGCAGGCAGCTCATGGCCACCAGCACCACCCCTAGAAGTTTCCCCTCCCCTCCCCCACTCACCATTGGAGGCGGTGAAGTCAATGGCCACCGTGAAGTTGATCTGGGTCCTAGAAGAGAGAAGCGGGGATCACCTAGGAAGGCGGGGCTGCGGGGAGGGGGAATGGTGCCGGGCAGGAGGGACAGAGCCACTGAGGGCCAGGTGCGTGGCCTCAGTGCAGAGAACTGCAACAGTTGAGCCAGCCGTGCCGTCCTCCAAAGGATGCCGTGAGCACCCGGAGCCGGGTAGCATGAGGCTCAGGCGGCACACGGAGGCAATCACCTCCTTCCTCCCGAGCCCTGCTGTGTAAGAACTGTTCTCACTGGGTTCCTGACTCAGGGTTAAAACGTCCGGCAAAACAGACATTCCCGATATCCCCAGGGAAGAACAGGCCGCTGTGAAGTTGTCTTGCCAAAAAGTTGAGTCTGAATCTGATTGGGCCTCAGCATTCTCATCTACCAGTTTGTTTTTTTTAAAAAAACAGGAAATACAGGAGGTAGAGGCACAAGTTAAGTGCCACCATGGGGATGCTGAAGAATCAAGTCCTTGGGAAGCTGAAGAACTACCGGATGAGAGGGCCATGGACCTTTGGTGTTCGAATCGCCCAGGAAACCGGGAAGCTTGGGCCCCCTCTACACCTCCTGAGTCAGAATCTCTTGGGGAGTCCTTCAGGTGCTTGGGGAACAGACACATAAGAAAATTAAGAGGTAAATCCACCAGTCGACACATGGATCTTGCTGGG